ACCTCACGGTCGTGGTGACGGATTTTCTTTACTATTCTGATTGATTACAATGCATTACAACACAATCCAAATAAAAACACACACACATACTAATAAAACACACACACACACACAGCCACCCTTGTGGCGACCGGTGGTTGTATATGGTGGCCGCCACCACCTCACGGTGGTGGTGGTGACTTCTTTTCGGATTCCGACCAAGGGCTTCTCACCCACACAGTACAACACACACTACATTACACACACCTAAAGTATACAAAAATCAAACACACACAACCACCTTCCATGGTGACTGGTGGCGACGGAAACATGGCAGCAAGCGGCGATTTGCAAAGACAGCCACCACCTCACGGTGGTGGCAAGCTTTTCTTGAGTCCTCGTTAGCAACAAGCGTCCACAGAACATCTACTCGTCGGGAGCTGGACACTGAATACACTCCGATCTCAGCCACTCTCGTGGCGGCACAAGGCAGTCGGGAAAGAAACCAGCCGGAACAGTCGTCGGGGGTGGCGACAACGACGATCGTGCAGCGGCAGATTAAGAAGGGGATAAGCGATGCACTTCGACCGGTTGTTGGGAGAAGCGGCGACAAGCTTCGTCGGCAAACAATGACGGTTGGCTTCGGTGGCAGAGAGGCTCCAAGATGACGACTGGAGAGAGTATGGGTAGCGGCTCACGCCTTCTGTGGTAGTAGAGCGGCACCGACGATGAGAGGCAGCATAAGGGGGTGCGGCGCCGGAGTTGGAGAAGGAAGGGGGTGGCGGCGGCCATCTCTATTAGGGTGGGGGGTTTGAGTTGCAGGAGAGTTAGGATGCATATAGGGCTAACGGGAGTGACGGGGTCACTCGGGCCCATCCCCAACCATTTTCATATTTTACCACAGTTAGTTCCCTCTCCATAAGAACTCTTTTCCACTTAAGTCCAAAAATTACCATGCAGCCCTACTTGACATACCTTTTAACTTGGGTACATAATTACCCCTTTAGCCCCATCCATCCAAAATCCTTTCATATTAAGTCCAAATGATACCAAACACACCCTGGCTTCCGAAATCCTTTTCAAAATAAAATCCCGAAATTACACTTTTAACCCCAACTTCTAAATTATGCCATTTGACTCCCCGAAACCAACACCCCGCTAATCATTATTTGATTTTGGCTATAAAATAATAATAAAATTACATTTCGGGGTTTCGGATTTATTATTTACTTATTTTATTTTAAACGGGATGGTACAAATATATATATATATATAGATATATATATATATATATATATTATATATAAATTATAGTATATATATATATATATATATATATATATTATATATATATATATATTATTACCAATCTCAGTAGTTAGAGACAAAATCATCAAGGGCGAAAAACGATATATACATTTAGAGGTTGTACGCACATGCACCAGATAATAACAAAAAACTCACATGTTTTTTAAAAAATTTTAGGATAAATTTATTATCGAAAAAAAAACCCAAATATAACAAAATTCATAATTTTTTATCATATTTCCACAGAAATAGATATTTATAAATAGAAAACAAATCTTTTTTTCGAAAAAAACCTTTTTCGTTTCGTTGTTGTTTTCTAATATTTAGGTTTATTTTTTTATCGAAAAGAAACTAAATATATCAAAATTAATAATTTTTTATCTTCTAAAAATAGACATCCATATAATTTAGTTTTCAATATGTAGGTCCATCGTAAGTGATGAAATTATATAAAATGTTTGATGAGTGAATGATATGTTGATATTACATAGCATTTGGTAGGTGTGTGTATCAAATCGTATAAACAAAACAAATCGTCCGCATTGCACCGCACCACACTGCATAACATGGTTTATCAGATTTGTTGTGTGGTTTGCGGTTTGTAATTTTTCCAAACCGCACTATGCATTGCAGTTTGCGGTTTTTAATAATGAAATTGTAGTTCAAACTGCACTGCACTATGTGTGTGTGTTATATATATATATATATATATATATATATATATAGAGAGAGAGAGAGAGAGAGATAGAGAAAGCTAGGTTCAAGTATTCTAACTAATTATTATGCGGATATCGTATGCTATGAGAATTACTAAGAGAATAAGTTGTTTAGCAATGCGAATACGTTCAACCTTACAAGAATATCGTCATTTTCATGCATTCTCGCTAATTATTATTTATTTTTGTTCACACACATCGTTTTTCACTCATTTTCATTCTGACAGAATACGACCCAATAAACATTCTGACAAACATTCTGACAGAAATAAGAATAATAATAATAATAAGTGTATAATAACCTTATAGACAATTTAATTAGTGAGAATGTGTGTTAGTGACAATAGGTATGTAAGATTGAACGTATTTATATTATCAAACAACATATTTTATTTATCATTCTCATAGCATACGATATCCGCACAATAACTAGAATAACCTAAGCCTATATATATATAATATATATATATATCTATATATATATATATATATATATATATATATATATATATATATATATATTAGATGTGTGCGTGCGCAAAGTGGCGACGATAAATAGTTTTTTGACGAATAATTTCTAATGACGAAATAATTATTAGATTTTATTATTAGTTATTATGTAATAAAAAATTATCAATTAAATAAAATATTTATGTTTGTACATTATATTTATATTGCCTTTTTATAATATTGATGTAAATTAATTAATATCTATGTCTAGTTAAGAAATATCTATTAATTTAAATACATGAATTTAATATTTTATTATTTTCACTTTTCTCCAAATTGAATTTGTTAATTATTTTCCTTCGTTCAAGTATTTAAACTTTTGACAAGTATTAATAAATTATTTATACATAATTGACTTATACAAAAAGTTTTGTAACTTATACCTCTTAAATTTCAATATATTACTAAGAGGTTGTTTGGTAGGATCTGAATTTTTAAGATCTGAATTTTTAAGAGATCTGAATTTCTAAGAGAGTCTGAAATTTTAAGAGCTGAATGTTTAACATGTTGTTTGGTTGGGACCTCTGAATTACTGTGCTGAATTATTAAAATGACCATTTTACCCTTTTGTTTTAGTTTTTATTAAATTCAACTGTTTGTTTAGAAAATAACCTAATAAATTTCTTAAATACGTATTAAAAAAATATAAACACCATATAAAATCCAAATTTAGCATAAATCAAAATTAAACCACACAAAAAGTAGTATAAATTTTCCAGAATTGTGCAACAAACCAAACAAAAAACATCTAAAGACATTTCACAACAGAAGTTGATACATGAATACATCCTTTCACAACTCAACTTTCATTCAACAAATATAATGAATCTATATAAATCATCTACCTACAATTACACAATATCCCCCACACTACACTGCATCCTTCTTTCCTTGCCAATTGTCAAGTAGTTCAATACTTGTTTCTTCAACTGCTTTTATAATCAATTCATTGATTAATCTTGCTTCTTTGTTTACTCCATTGTTTCTGGTATCAAACTACAAGTCAACCTGTATGCAAATATTGTATACAACCCACCATCAACCATTATCCAGCCACCATATCCATTAATCCAAATCCAACATTACCCTCCTTCACTCTTTCCTGAACCACCGAACACCACCCACACAAACACCATTCCTACATTTTACCACCATCACCACAGCCTATACCGACAAAACCAAATCACCCAAAAAAACACACACACAAAAAATTTGACCATTAACATCAACTATAGATTACAATTGAAGAAATCAAAAACTGAATAACATAACATAAGAACTGATTAGCATAACATAAGAACTGATTTGGAGCATAACAAAAGAAGAGCAATCAATTTTCAGAAGAAGAGAACAAACCTGTTATCGATTTCTGATTTTGGACTTTAGGGCACAGAAAATGATGGGAAGGCTACTGAGACGAAACAAACGGGGTTGCAAGGCTGCTGGGACGTCGGCGATCGGCTGGGCGGCGTCGTTTCAGGCGGTCTTCGGCGACGGGAACTATGCGAAGGAAGCAGACTCGAACCGGGGAAGAAAACGCTACTCGAAAATCAGAAATCGCTGCTGAGACGAAACAAACGGGGTTGCAACGCTGCTGGGACGTCGACGATCGGCTGGGCGGCGGCGTTTTAGGCGGTCGTCGGCGACGGGAACTAGGCGACGGAAGCAGACGCGACTGGGGAAGAAAACGAAGGAGGAAGACGCAAGAACAGGAGAATAGGAGGCGAGTATGTCCGACCGTGCGATTTAGGGGCAAAACAAGATGCGCGTTTCTTTTCTTTTATTTTCAGACTTTGTTCAGGATCTGAAAAATTAAGAGGTGTTTTTGATTTTAAGAGGTAAAAAATAAGACCCAAACAAACGATCTGAATCTGAATTTTTCAGACATTGCCTCTTAATTTTACAATTAAGAGGTAAACAAACGGGGCCTAATATGATTTATAATATATATATATATATATATATATATATATATATATAATTTAAGCTAAAAAATTACATTAAAAGAGGTCAAATATAACAGGAAAAATATATAACTTAATAGTGTATATAATAACCAACCATTGAATGATTAAAAGTCAAAGTATTTCATTTATATTTTGAATTTATTTATTTAAACTATTATAATTAGAGACTAATTTTGAAATATAATTGTTTTAAAAAACATGATTCAAATATAAACTATTAATACCCTTTGACCTTGTTTAAATTTGTTGTATGCTTGCCAACGATATCAAACGATATCATGTATTACTAAATGTATAGTGTAAGAACTCTATGCAGCAACAATTTAGTTGTATTAGTTTTCGAGAAATTAAATATTCTTTTATTTTTTGTGTCTAATATCTTCCTACCTATTTTAGATAGTGATAAGTGTCATTTAATTTAATTTAAATTTGATTGAGATGTTAAATTTGTACACTTGTCATCATCTTAAATAGATAGGAAGAAAAGTAAAAACAAAAGGTAGAATGATATATTTAATTTCTCTTAATTTTCTCTTTTAATGAAACTTATGGATTTGATTTTATAGATTTACAAAATAAACAAGAGTATGTAAAATTAGGGATGTCATCAAACTACAAAAAACCGTATAAACTGTCTGCACCAAACTGCACCACATATTGTGGTTTATAACCGTCGTGGTTCGGTTTGTAGTTTCCGATAATCTCAAACCGTATATATGTTGCAGTTTGTGGTTTTGACTCTAAACCGCACCACATACACCCTTAATATTTGGTACTTGAAAATTGGAGAGGAAAATAGAATGAAGTATTAAGAATGAATGAACAAATATTATGTTTGTTGCCACCAAAGAATGAAACACATCATTCCTCATGGGATTAATTACTTCTCTTAAGTTGATTTTCATTTCATAGATCGAATGTTTTTTATGTATTCTTGAATGGAATGATATATACATATAATAATTTAAAATTACTTTTATTAATTTAATATTCAGTAATATTAATCTTTGTTAAACATTTTAAAACTTTAATTAATTACTTTTACTTTTGAAAGAAAAAACATCAGAAATGGTCCCTGTGGTTTCCCCAAATCTGAAGTTTAGTCCCCGTGGTTTAAAAACATCATAGATGGTCCATGTGCTTTCAAAACTTTTCACGATTGGTCCTTATTGCTAACCCCGTTAAGTTTTGTTCGTTATTGAAGGGTATTTTCGTCATTTCACTACCACAGAGACCATTTATGATGTTTTCTCGTATTTTTTTTAAAAAAGAAAAAATTAAATATAATTAAATATATAAAAGGTCTCTATCTCTCTCTCTTTCTCAAAAACACACACACATACATTTCCTGAAAATAAAAAACGCACAACCTCATCCCAGTCTTCTCCCTCTCCTTAAAAATCTTTCTAACTCCGCTTGAAGGAAAGATCGTCGATCTCTTTCCATCGTCGATAACCTTTTGACATCAACGTCGTCTTTAGACGAAAGGGTGTTTCAAGGGGTTTTGTTCTTGGGTTCAAGGGGTTTCAAGATCTGTATTTGTAAACCCAGTTAAAGAAGACGAAAGGGGTTTCACTATAAACCTCAATTCACTACTTGACCATAAGACGCTCTCAACACCACCCCCATTACTTTACTTGTTGTCTTTAGATCTCTGAAATCCAGCATGTGTCGAAATTAGAGCTAAGGTGATCGACCAATTCCACATCATGTATCAATACTCTTTCAAGATTCACGATTGTCAACAGATTTTGGTAATTATGATCTGATATTCGTTTATTATGCGTTTGTATTTTGCAATGGAAGAAGAAGAGAATCAGGAGGTTGAGGAGGAAGGGATCGATCTAAAAGTTGGGATTAATCTGAATCGATTTGATACTACTTTAAATCTATTGAAAAGATTTAATTAATATCAGAAGGGATCGATCTGAAAATTGGGATCAAGTACAATGATACTAAGCCTGGATATTTTATTATTGTAGTTCTGATTGATCTTTTGAACACATATGAGAACCTGATTTTTTTTCTTCTGGTTTTGTGGTTTTTGTTTTTTTGAGTTTTTGATTAGATTAATGGTGATTATTGTTGAAATTGAAAGCGGGTGCAGACAAGGAATAGAGGAAAGCGAAAATAGAGGTGCTAAACCTGGGTTTGTGTATGATCTGTTTGGGTGTTGTAAATACAAATTTTCATATGGCTTCCATTCTAAACCTTTGAACTCGCTAGGTCAATGTGTATCTGGGTTTGTGTATGATCTGTTTGTGTGTAGTAATCTGGGTCGAACTTCCAGACAATGTTGTGAACAAAGCAAATCGATGATAGTGTTGGACTGATTGGCGAGGATGTGAAGACGATGAACAGAGTATGTAAGTTTCTTTGTGTGCATGTATGTGTCTAGAGAGAGAGAGAGAGAGAGGTGGGACCTTTTATATATTTGATTATATTTAATTTTTTCTTTTTAAAAAAATACGAGAAAACATCGGTAGTGAAATGACAAAAATGTCATTCAGTTAACGGACAAAACTTAACGGAATTACCAATAAGGATCAATCGTCAAAAGTTTTGAAAGCACAGAGACCATATATGATGTTTTTAAACCACGGAGACTAAACTTCAGATTTGGGAAAACCACAGGGACCATTTATGATGTTTTTTCTTTTTTAAATATAAATAAATTAATTTTCTTATAATTATATTTTAAGATTTATTGATATCTATGTCTTAATATTTTATAAATCTTCTTTGACTACAAATATATATTTATGTGCAATCTATTAATAACAGATTTTTATTTAATTATAATTTATTGTTTTAAATTAATATTTTTTTTATTACTAATTTATAACAAACAAATGTGTAGTGATTTATTTTATTGTTCGAGTCAACTACACATAACAGTTAAATGTAATTATGGATTCCATTACCTTGATTACGTCGTTTATTCCATTTCTTGATTGTCGTACTCAATCAAACCAAACGGACCTTTAGAAATGAGATAAATGGGAAGACTTGATAATTATATTAATTAATAAATCAATTAACAATGTAACATTCAAATCACATTCTAAAATATTTGTGACTGAATGTTATGATTTATTTATACCAGATTCAAGAGATGCAGCATGCATTTGGATTCTCGTCTGAGAAGAGTTGCGGTGGTGGGATTCTTTCCATCACATACAACGGCGGATACTGATGATAATACATCATCCTTTGCATGTCAACCAACTCCATTTTCTCTCCTCCATCTTTCTTCCCCTCCTCCTTCTCTCCATCAGCACCACCACCTTCCTTCTTTTCTTCTTCTGGTGGTTTCTCTTCTGGTTTTGCTTCTTCCGCTGGTTTCTCCTCAGGTTTTGCTGCAGCCTCTTCTTCTTTGGGCTTCTCAGCTGCTTCCGGTGCTGGTTCCGCCGCTGGCTCTGGTTGTGGCACGATCTTTGCTTGCTTTTTTGTACGCCTATACACATACTCCACCAGCTTCTCACCATCCATACTTCCTGTGACCATCACTTTACTTGAACCCACTTCTGTTTCCACTGTTTTCACCCCTGCAAATTATTCATCTCATTTCATTTACTTTTGAATTAACTTGAATAAAAAGAAATATCTCTATTACTCAAAATCTAATGACTTACGTACCTTTCATTCGGAGGATCTTGCGTTTGAGTTGCAGAGCACATGCTTCACAATGCATGTTGACATTCAACTCGACTGTAATTAATCCAGGGACTTCAGAGGCAACGACTTGAGGAATGGGATCACCTTCGTTAGCAGGAAGAGGAGACAACACTTTGGCGGTTCTTTTTGTTTTCTTGGTTATTTTATCACATACTGCTTGCGGTTCCACCACTCCTTTTATCGTCACTTGGTTCTTCCCCATGTCTATGTCCAACCCTACAACTCCTATATATAAACATACACACACCGCATTTAATGGATAATAATTAAGACACACACTGAACTACTCACACAGAGTATAAATAATTAAATATATATACCTGGAATTCTCAAGAGGGATTTCTCAATCTTTTTGGCACATCCAACACAATGCAAATCGATAAACAACACAAAGGGAGCTGGTGGTTTTGGTTCTTCTTCTTTTTTCTCTTCAGCTGGAGGTTTCTCCTCGGCATTTTCTTCTTTCTTTTCCTCTGGTTTTGGTTCTTCTACCTTTTGTTCTTCCTGTTAATTAGAAATAGAAATTAAAAAACCAGTCAGACTCACATCAGATATATCCCAGATCACATTCTTAACCATCTACATCTCACTCAAATAAACCCGAAATCAGTACTCACCACTTTCTGTTCTTCACCCATCGTCCTTAATACAAAAAGAGAGAGAGAGCAACTACAGTAGAGAGAGAGAGAGAGAGAGAGAGAGAGAGTGAATGAGAGAAAGAAAACAGAGAAATATATAAGAAATGATTTGAGAATCTTAAGGATGGACGGTGAGTTATTATCCTCAAAAAGCAAAACATTGACATGGCAGAGCACATGCAGAGCCACTAACTCTTTATATATAAAAATTTCCATCTTTTTGGGTTGGGATGCATCCATGGCCACAAAACTTAAGCAGAGGGAATTCCAAGGAATCAGAATAGACTTATTTATCGGAAAAGTAACTGTATATAATGGCCTTAAAAGGAGAAACAGATAAAATACCCCGTTGACACTCTCACGCAAAATTGTTACATATCTTGTGATTAATTAATATTAACTGCTTAATTACCATACGCATTTTTATAAAACAACAATTAACAAAGAGTTAATTAAACAGGTTCTAACAATGTACAATGTACATTATAATTTCAGTATAAGTCCCATCGTCAATCTTGAAGTTAGAAATTTCCCAACTCACACGGATGTATAAGTTTTTGTGTTAATATATAGCATGCATGTTCTTTTTCATCATTTCTTTAAGTATGTCACTTCAAATCTGACTAACTTTCAAAAGCTATGTGACAATTTATGATACAACAGTTGGTATGATGAGCGTGAAACTAGTCGAAGAATGAACGATCACAATCTACTGAAAAAACCGGTTGTTCAGTTGATGTATGAATGGAAGAAGGAGTAGTCGGGCAAAAGGTAAGAACTTTAATTTTGGAGGGATGCCAAAAGGAATAAAGGATTACGTGTAAAGATCTTCTTACTTGAAACTTGGTCTCACATGCAACATTATTATTATAATTATTATGTAATATTTTCTTTTTGGGAAATAAATTGGGTTATTTAATATGTGGTTACCTAACCTACCATCTTTTGTTTTTGATGTAACCAACTTGATTGAATCTCGACACAAAAAGAGTGGTCAGATATGGGGTTCCCCACTTGGGATCTGCAGAAATTTAACTTTCTTACGTGGGGATGAATGTTGTACACATAGACTTGCATTTGGATCTACATAACCTCTTTGTGTAACTTAGTTTATAAGAGTAACAAAACTTTATTTCAATTCAAAAGGGTCCAGATCAAGTACCAATTATAGAAACAATCAGACATGTGGACGTGAGTCAGCATGGGACACCAATGTTTCGCCACAATACAAAACTTTTTTTTTCTACATTTTACCCATCAAATTAATGCTTCCATTTTTTTTAGAACTATATAAACTTTCTTGTGACGCCCTGAATATTATTTATTCTTTTTAAGGATTTTAATTTAAAAGAATGTGTGGGGGCCAGAAAATTGGAATAATTAGAGGTTAATTAAGAAGATCAGCATATCTTGTAATCATTAATTCCTTTGTTTTGTTAGTAACCACTAAGCAATCATACTTAACTCAACCACCATTCATTCAAGTTTTGGCATAAAGAGTCCAAATGGATGGTTTTTATAGTTTACCACATCAACCGGTAATAATAATTTGGTTTTGATGTGAGAAATCTACCAAACCATGCACCAAATACCATCCTTAATTAACAATCACCCAACCTCTGCCAAATAGCACCTGCCTATGTTCCTGTTCATAGTTATCAATGCAACAACTATTTTCTATATACATTTACATCATCCCAAATACACAGAATCTTTTAGCAAATGTCATAATTAAACTTATGAACCTTTTTACACAATGAAAAGGGATTTAATGTCGACTGAGATATAACTCTGCAATAGCAGTGTGTAAAGCTGCACCAATGGGAAGAACATCTTCATCAAGAAAGAAATAAGGAGAGTGTGGTGAATGAACTGAACCAATACCCTCATTACGGATTCCAATTCTAAACATGACTCCAGGAATCACTTCCTGATAGAAAGCAAAATCCTCCCCACCCATCACCTTCTTAGCCACCTTAACTCCCTGTGAACCAAGCACCATTGATCCCACCATGTCCACATGCATGCTTCTTCAAGCTCTCATCATTAATGGTAGCTGGATGTAGAGGGTATTCATCCTCCATCATATCAACTGTACCTTTGCATCTATGAACAGCTGCCTGTCCTTCAATCACCTCTTTCACCCGTTGCTGAAGGTGTTGCAAGCCTTTAGTTGTTAGACTCCTGAGTGTTCCCCCTAATTCAACATATGGTGGAATAACATTCGATGCACTTCCACCCCCAACATAAGTAACTGATAGCACCTGCAACCAATTCAAGTAAAACACAATTTAAAGATTCAACTTCATCCGCTTTTACCCATGAACAAAGACACGTACTTGATTTTGGAGGGGATCTAATTCTCTAGAGATTAAATGTTGCAAGGCTAAAACTGTTGATGATGCAGCAAGTATAGGGTCCACACTGTTGTGAGGTTCAGCAGCATGACCACCTTTACCTTCTATCTTAGCTTTAAAGAAGCATACATAGGTCCTGAAAGGGTGGCAATGGTTCCTGTAGGAATTGTATAATCAACATGCATTCCAAATATGGCCTCTGAATCACCTAAAGCACCTTCTTTTATCATATGGGATGCACCCGCACCTCCCTCTTCAGCAGGTTGGAAAATCAACCCAACAGTTCCCTTATAACCAAATTAATAAGAAAAAATAAAACTATTTAGTGGGTGAAGTAAAATGGAATTGTTACATTAAGGCATACCTTTAGATTGTCTTTTCTCTGATTAAGTAACTTAGCAGCACCAAGGAGCATGGTTGTGTGAGCATCATGTCCACATCCATGCATTACTCCATCGATTTTACTCTTATGCTCCCATTCAACCAGCTCCTATGTTTACATCATACAAATTTGAATACTTTTAGAACTAAATTGAAGAGGAATAGTTTGAATTTATAAGTGAAAATGGTATATAATCAAGAATAGCAAGTGCAAATTAGAAGTCAAACATAAACTTTCTTCAGGAGAGATAGATTAAGGGCAGGGAAGATTAATACCTGTAAAGGGAGGGCATCCATGTCAGCTCGAAGAGCTACAATAGGAGGAGACCCGATGCCAATTTGAGCTACAAAACCAGTGGTGGAAATTGGGTATGTGTAAGAAACGCCAAGTTTATCGAGTTCATTGCGAATAAGGGCGCTGGTGTTGTGTTCTTGGAAAAGGAGTTCAGGGTACTCGTGGAGCTTCCTTCTGATTGAAATCAACCAATCTTTGTCTTCTTTTGCTGCACTTAAAAGCTGCGTCCCGTAGTCTTCATCGGCATCTACGATTTGAATCGACGAAGGCAGTAAAACCCAGAGCAGTAGGAGGATTCCAAAGTAACGAAAAATCAAAATTTGAAGCATCTTCTACAATTAGGTCTTCTGATACTGTCTCAATTGGGGCGTGTAACACTCGACCCAAAACCTAAACCGGTACTAACCCTTCCCTTCATCAGAATTTTGATTTTTCCATTTTTTATTCCTGAATTGGATTTTTCCATTTTTTATTCCTGAATCGGATTGTCTCCTTTCTTCAATATCCCATTTTTTATTCCTGAATCGTATTTCACTATTTCTTGGCGGAGGAAGATAATAATTTCTCAAAGTATTTGTAATGATAAATATTAAAAAAATTATAAAAGTTGCAATGCGTTTAACAGAAATTAACATAATATCAAACCAATTGTTTGAAAAAATCTAAGCTTTTATTCCATATAATTTTCTAAAACAAATTCACACAGAACGACATGACAAATTCACCAACTCATGTGGTAAAGAGAATTGAACATATTAATCTCTCTCTCTCTCTCTCTCGCTAGATGTCTAGAATGACTTAAGAGTACAACTGGAGTGGCTTTGTTGATATAAGAAAAGCAAAACGAGAAGAAATGAGGGGTATATTGAAGATGGATGGATGTTTTGGTGCAATAAAGTTTGGTTTATATTAAAAGAGACATGTCTCATGTCTGATCATTTTTTCATGCTTCTGGGTAGGCTTTGATGGAAAAAGATTGACAAAAGGAGAAGAAGTAAAGGATATTTTGGTCCTTTTCAGAATTTAATCAGGAAAGTATGTCATTTTCATGATTACATATGGAGGGAAATTACCTGCTTTGTTCGATCAAGTGAAAATCCAAATAAAGGCTTCATGATGGGTCTCGTGTGATGCACTGTGGTTAAAAGGAAGATTAATCTTGATGCTTCAGCATGCAAGGTTGGGAGACTTTTTGGTCCTAGATACTGGTGATTTGTCTTGGATACAACTACAAGTAATGCTTTTGCCTTAAAAATCTTATCCTCTTACTTTTATTTATGTGTTTACTAGTAAGTATGATGCTTAATATTATCTTTATGTTTTATGTTTATTAAATAGTGTCAATGGAGTGGATAGAGTTAGCAGTTTCAGGAACATTGTCACCACCAAGGTGCGGTTTTGCAAGTCAAAACTCCAAGTCTGGGGATAATAATTACATCGAAGCACAAGTGAGGGAAGCAACTTTGATAACCGATATATAATTATATAGTGTTGAGGAGTTTCAGAAATCCTGGGAAGGGTGAAGACCACTACAAGTAGAATGTTAGTATTTCTAAATATCTCAACAAGAAAAAGGCAAACAATGGTTTTTTATTTGAGACAAAGATGCAAAGGTTTTGGTGGTGTTGGTGTTGTTCTTTTGTCAAAGTAGAGTGTTATTTTTTTAGATTGGTCATTTTCCACCCTCTTTTTTGGTGGCTTTTCTATATGTTCATCTAGTTTTTGTAGATTTTTATTTTCTCACATTGTAATTAATGCATCTTAGCAATTCAGAAAAAAAAAAAAAATAATTTAATGTTATTTCATAGTTTATAGTGTGGTGATGATGATTTTGTTAACATGTTATATATGTTATAACTTGTCGATTGTAAATCTTAATTATCTATGGTCATTGTGGCAGAAAATGATTACATAAATGGACCATAACAATTACAGAAATGGTCCCTATGGTAAAAAAAATTGTAGAAATCATCCCTGTGGTTGAAAACAACTGCAGAAATGGTCCTTGTGGCAGAATTACGTTACAGGAGCAGTCCCTGTTGCAGAAATATATTACAGAAACAGTCCCTATGGCCTAATATCTTTACAAAATGGTCTCTATTACATTACAGAAACAGTCCCTTTTGCAGAATTACATTACAGAAACAGTCCCTTTTGGCATAATATCTTTACAAAATGGTCCCTGTGGCATAATTATATTACAGAAACAGTCCATGTTGCAGAAATATATTACAGAAACAGTCCCTGTTGCAGAATTACATTACAGAAACAGTCCCTATGGCATAATATCTTTACAAAATGGTCCCTGTGGCATAATTATATTACAGAAACAGTCCATGTTGCAGAAATATATTACAGAAACAGTCCCTGTTGTAGAATTACATTACGGAAACAGTCCATATGGCATAATATCTATACAAATTGGTCCCTGTGGCAGAAATACATTACATAAACAATCCATGTGGCAGAAAATATTTACAGATTTGGTCCCTGTGGCAGAAATACATGACAGATGCAGTCATGTGGTAGAAGTTTTTTACAGAAAAGGTCCTTGTGGGAAAAGAAAACAAGTACAAAAAAGGTCCCAAAACAAATATATATATATATATATTATATATATATATATATATATATATATATATAGGGAGATGATCAAATGAGAACACCTAAAAGGTTAAGAACGCGAGAACAATTCTGGACCAATCAATATATAAGGGCATACTAGTAATTGTATATTTTAATTAAATTTAAATAAAATAAAATTCAATCAAATTCCCTTAAATTTAGGATCAGTTACCAAAAAAGAAATAAATATTCAATTTTTTATTTTTCTTATTAATGGAATATAAAAAACATTTTTACCAAAATTTATTATAAAACTGAAAAAAAAATCTTAAAAAAATCAATTTTTTTTCTCCTATTTCACGTTTTTTTTTTTTTGTGTTCAAAAAAATGAATAGAAATCGAACACCAAATTAGTATATTTGTATTCATAAATGATTTTTTTTTTCAAAAAACCTGATACTACTCCAATCACAAATAAATGCACATCAATTTACAAGTAATCTAATTCCTTTTTTTAATCAATTGAAAATAAAAAGAGTGTAAAAATTATCATTTCTTCATAAAAAGAATACCTCTAATCATAAATAAATATACTCATTAACACATGCTTACACTGTTATTCACAAATGAATACACTGCTATTAACAAATGAGTACCCTGTTATTCAGAATTGAATAAATGAATACCTCTAATCATAAATAAATACATTCATTCACTGTTATTCACAAATGAATACACTTCTATTCACACATGAATGCACTGCTATTCATTCACTGTTATTCACACATGAATGCACTGCTATCCACAAATGAATAACTGCTATTCATAGATAAATACAATTTTTCATTCTTCCATTTCCTCTCACCCTCCCTTCTTTTTCTCCTATCTTCGAGGTGCAACAAAAACACCCCCCACCAGAGGTGTTTGCTGGTGGTTTCCGGCGAGCCAAGGGCAGCAGCCCCTTCCGTTTTCTCCCACTGTTTTGCGACACACCAAGCAACCCAAACACCCCCTGTTGTCGTTTTCTTTCTGCCTTCCTCCCCCTCTCATCGACAGTAACTGGAACAAGAAAACGAAGTGGTGAAGAGGTTGCCAGAATAGCCCCAGCCACTCCACTACTGCGATGAACCACCAAATCGGTGGAGGTGCTCCCTATTCTTCTTTCTTCGCTCCTGAAACAATTTCATACTTCATCATTTCATGTTCTTGATAGAAAACCCCAAAATCGGAAAAACACAAAATTGAAAGTGAAAGAGATGGATTTAAAGTGAAAGAGATGGATTTGCAACTCAAAACATCGAATAAAGGTGATATATCAATGAATCGATTCTGAATAAATGAAAGATAAAGGAATCCCTAATCATACCCTTTACCCTTCGTAACTAGGAAACCACCATCGACATAGCCTCCATCATCAACCTTTATCTTCACAGCAACATTCAAGCAAAAATCGAGACCATACCTTCCAACTTGAAATCGATTGCTGGTCTAGAATCTCCAATGAAAACCGATGAACTAACATCGACTTGTAGGAGTGCTCTTTCGCTGATTCTATGACCTCCTCCTGCTCTATGGTCTGGGTCGGCTTCTAATATGTTGTATGAGATGAGGCGGTGAGATGATGCAGATGTCGATTGTATGGTCAACAAAATAGAGTAATTATAGGAGTTTACAAAATTAGGATAATGCTTATTTACCTTAATAGCCTTTATAATTTTTTTTAATTTAAAATTTAAAATTTAAATGTATTAATAATTAGAAAAATAACAATTAATTATAGCCACACATCTTAAAAATTAGATGGCTCAGATCTGTTCTCGCGTTCTCAACCTTTTAGGTGTTCTTATTTGATCTACTCCTATATATATATATATATATATATATCAAACTCATTAAAGTGTTATATATAAAAAACTCATTAAAGTTTTTGAGTAAATTACGCGAATCGTCCCTTGTGAAAGTGCCAAAATACATGTTCAGTCCCTATTTTCAAAAATTAACCCGGTCCGTCCCTCGTTTGGTTAAAAGTTGCATATGTCATCCCTCGTTAGTTTAAATTTGCATGTTTCATCCCTTACCAGACTTAAAATGACGATTTTACCATTTTTATTATATTTTTGTTTTATTTTATTTTCTTATAATTATTAACAAAAAAAACAAAATAAATCAAAAAAACCCATCCCACCCATCTTATCCTCCACTTCCTTTCTAAATCATTTTTCCCTTAAATTATTTGACACAAAAACCTAAAACAAAATCATCACCCCGTCGGACCATCACTACCACCGGACCACCGCGCACCATCGTCGACCACCACCTTCTTTACAAATGCCAGCCGAACTATAAGAGCATAAAACACACACCTTTTGTGTGTGTGTGTGTGATGCGATACAGAGAAAAAGGGCAAGAGAGACAAAGATGGAGCAGTGTTCGCCTGTATGAGAGCGTTATTTTCAGTGGCGATGGGCGATTTTTTGTGGTGGTTTCAACAGATCTGCTACCATCTCGGCTGAAGGTTGCACATGTCTTCTCCACAACTGCCATCCTTAAATTACTCATTCGCCTTCTTCAACAACGCCTCCAATCAAACAGATTTGGTGAAACTCTTGTCGCCAGAAAAACGAATCTGGTGAAATCCTTGTCGCCGGAAAAGTGAATCTGGAACCCCCATGAATAGAAATCACACTTAACACGATTTCTAGAATAACATCCGGAGAAGATCTTCATACAACATTCTTGCATATGTGCCTGTTGGAGTCAAGATCTGCAAATGAATTTGGTGAAATCGATCGGAGTTGCGGGTTACGAAGGGGAGATGAAAACAGTCACAGTTGCAGGTTTCAGCATCAAGGAGTCCTTCATGTTGATTTTGTTTGGTAGAGCTACTGGTGGCTTTGAAGATGTTTCCGGCGGCAGAATTTGATGAGAAAGGGAGAGATGGAGCGACAGTGGCTAGTGGTTTCATATGCAGTAATGGTGGTCGGAAGTTTCCGACGGAGAAAAGAGAAAAGTCATTTGCAGTCTTTTAGACACAGAGAAGAAAGAAAGGGTCATTATAATTTAATAATAATAATAATAATAATAATAATAATAAATCATATAATAAAAAAATGAAAAATGAAATAGATAAGGATATAATAGTCTTTTTACGACATCAGGGACGAAGGGTACAACTTTTTATGACATAAGGGATGGTACGAGTTAATTTTTAAAATTATGGACTGAACGTGCATTTTGGTACCTGCAGCAGGGACGATTTGTATAATTTACCCAAAGTTTTTTAACGATTTTTCTCATGTCAAATCTTACCGAACAACAAAATTAAAAAAATTAAACAATCCATACAGAAAACATTAAAGTGTTAAAATGTAATCAAACTCATAACAAAAACTCATGATCTTTTGTGTTCTTTTCTGTTGCTAGAGGATGCTTCATTAAAACCTTGACACAAGGGATTTTTGCAAGTCCTTTGATGGTGTTCATACATACCATAACGCGGACATATGTGTTTTTTTGGGTTCATCACGTGGTATAATCTATTTTTTTTAGGTCGTCTAGGCGGCTGTTTTATAATAGGTGGGTATATCTTATCGACTGTCTCTATATGTACGCGTTGATCTTTACCGGGCATCGGACCAATTTCTAAAGCATATACTTTTTTTAAATTTGTCGACTGTGAAATATTTATCAACATATTTGTCCCAACTAGGCTCCCTTGTGAAAGCAATAAATGCAATTGCATGCACACACAGAAGGCTTGTAACTTGCCATTTTCAACAACTACATTATTTATCATCCAATATAACATTCCAACGATTTCCTTTGTAGTTCAATTCTGCTTTATTGTCACTGTTTCTACAAACTTGAAAGTCACCCAAGTTCTACATGAGAAAATAAAACAAAAAACAAACTAATATTAGGAAAAATATATATGTTTAATGCCAAAAAAAATTATTTGTTTATATATATATATATATATATATATATATATATATAATATATATATATATAGTTCCTTAACTTGTTTATATATAGTTCCTTAACTTGTCTTAGTGATTGTTTTGAGAGTTTTTTGCTTTTGGAACTAGTGGTGCTTTCCATTTTTTCACCTTACTCCTTTTTCTTGTCAGATCGTTCCATAAGCTTTTCTCTAATTGCATCAAGGAGATCAAGCACCGGTTTATAAGGTATGTCACCTACCCAAGAGTTACAAGTTTCTGAAATATTGTTGATAATGTAATCACACTTGACAAGTGTGCCAAACTTGCTTCTACTCCATATCTTTTTATGGTTCTCATTCAAATAAGAAATTGCATTTTCACGTACAGTAGCAATTTCATTTAACAATTTGTCTTGCTTACTAACTGAGTAGGTATTTGCAGCATCCAATTACTTGCTCATGAAAAAATCATCTCGAAAATGTTTCTTGAAGTTGCTACATAAATGTCTTATGCCTTCTCGAGCTCAATATTAGGATAAACCTGTGTAATAGTTACTTCCAACCTTTTTTTGCATGTCAAAGTAGATAACAAGACCATTAGGTGTACCAATCGCTTTTTATATTGACTTGAGAAAGAAAGTCTCTTATTTTGTATTCTCTGACTCAAACACATCATAGGCTACTAGAAACATACCATTGTTATCGTCGTTACTTGTGGCAGCAGCTAATACACCATTAAATTTCCCTTTCAAATGACAAGCATCAAGCTCAATGTAAGGACGACAACCAGTAAAAAAACACTTTATAGCATGTTGTTAATGATATAAAAAAGCGTAGGAAATGTTTCTTGTCACCCACTGTCTGTAAATCAATCTCCACAACACTTCCTGGGTTTCTCTTTTCAAGTTCCTGTTTGAAATCATATATATTTACATAAAAGTCATCCCACTTGCCATACATATCGGTATAAATTTGTTCTCTTCCTCTAAAGACTCTTATATATGGTACTTCAACACTGTAGCTATGCATAAGCCACTTTTTTAGGTCGGCAGGGGAGACATCGCCTTCAGATTTAACCTTGTCAGTTACAAGATCAGCAATCCATCCTTGAGTGTCATGTTTGTTACCACACTTGTTGCTTCGAGTACAAGAATGAGTTTCTACAAAGTTCTTAACCAACAAAATGGCATAAAAAACATATAACTATGTTAACATAATAACAATGTCGACAAATGTAGTGTTTCTCAAATTTCATACTTACTTCAAAAGTAACCCCATCTTGTGTAAGAAAAGCATGAATTCTCCGCTTGCACTTTTTATCTCCACAACATGTTGTAAGTCTTGTCAAATCACTTTTCTCAATGTCATACTCAAATTCATTTGTTAGTGCATAATGCAATGCTCTTCTAAAAGCAATTACACTTGGGAATTCAGAATTTACTTTCATAAATGGATTTATCTTACTATATGCATAAGTTTCACCATAATTTAGAAGCTCATACTTATTATCGGAACTATGAAGACTATGGTAGCCTTTTTGACTTGGAGAAATTGAGTCTATCTCATTTTCATCATCAGATTCATCAATAAATTAATCTTGACAACTAAACGGTTTAGGGTTATACCTTATTTTTTCGGTTGTCACATAAATTCTTACTTCGTTCTCCTTATTATACATGCTAAGCATCACCATGAAGCTTTCATCATTATCAAGTTCAATAAAGCATTGCTCTTTTACATGTTTGTCAACAAATACTATTGACAAAACAATATTGTTTTGTGATGGATAATGTTTTTTTACCTCTTCAACTAGATGATTTAATTCGTACGGACATGTTTCTATATAGAGAGATTTTGTAGATCCAAAACAACATACTTGCCTACACGAGTTCTTGGCTAAACGAAAGAAGCCTCCATATTTTAGTTTAAACTTGTATTACGATATTACTTGCTTGACAACCATAATGAAAAAAAATGGAACTGAAGTGACACATAAAGTATCATTCATCTTGCTTGTAAGAACTTACTCTTTGGTTAGTTTTGGATTGACTCGGTCAGTTAGGTTGATCTTTAACTGACTTCGTCGGTTTAGATTGATTTGGTTCGCTTCGAGCAGACCAAATGACTTGGTTAGTTGGATTAGTCAGCTTTGGGCTAACTTATCAATTTGATCTCAAACTAACTTGTAGTTCAAGTTGATTTGTCCGTTCAAACGGACTTGTCAACTTGACGAACATTATCGGTTTGGCAAACATATAACTGCTTCTAACTTCCGAAAACTGCTATTTTCGTCGTCCTTATCCAATTTTAAGATAACATGGGTATATGGACGTGTTTGGCAAAAATAGTTGTTAGCTGCAAGCGGTTAGCAGGTAGCGGGAAACTGTAGCTTTTATTTGTTATATGAGTGTTTGGCAAAAGTAGCTGAAAGCTTTTGAAATATATAAATTTACATAAAAGGACAATTGATTAAAAATAAATAAATATATAAATAGATTTTTAAGAGTAATTATGGAAATTGATTTCAAAAGCTCAGTAGCGTTTTGTTAAACGCTACATGAAGTAGTTTTTAGATTTGGAGCGTTTTGTTTAAACTAAAAGTTAAATGCTCGTACTGCCAAACGAAGTTTTTTGTTTAAACTATAACGTTTTGTCAAAAGCTAAAAGCTAGAAGCTCCTAAACACTTCTAAAAGCTCCGTGCCAAACACGCCCTATATATACTTTTAATAAGCAACTTTTTTTGAGATTCTTAAGAATTTGAGCAATCCTTTCTTTCATCCGTATGATTATGGCAACTGCGTCGAGGATACCATTAAACTAAACAACGCATAACCTGCTTTTTTTACTTTGGATCCGTCACCGATTCTAAGAGCTTCAATTTGTTCATAATTATCAAGAAATATATAGAACAATGACCAAATGATGGATTCTTCATTGTTTGATGGTGTACGAGTTGCAACATAGAAGGATACAGAGAGATGTGGCTAATGAAAAGGAAACTGGAACTGTAATATATAAAGTGATTTGAGTAAATGGGTCAAAACTCAAATTGACTTTGACTTCCCTATTATTTATACAAGACTCCTCTGGACATTAGTATTAACCACTTTCTCTACAGCTCCAATCAAAGATTCACCTAAAAATTAAGATGCAATGAGAAAGAACATGTTCAAGAGATAAAGGACATGTACCTTGTATTACTCTATATACATTTACATCATCCCAATACATAGAATCTTTTAGCAAATGTCATAATTAAACTTATGAACCTTTTTACACAGTGAAAGGGGTTTGATGTTGATTGAGATATAACTCTGCAATAGCAGTGTGTAAAGCTGCACCAATGGGAAGAACATCTTCATCAAGAAAGAAATAAGGAGAATGTGGTGAATGAACTGAACCAACACCCTCATTACGTATTCCAATTCCAAACATGACTCCAGGAATCACTTCCTGATAGAAAGCAAAATCCTCTCCAGCCATCACCTTCTTAGCCACCTTCACTCCATCTGAACCAAGCACCATTGAACCCACCATGTCCACATGCTTCTTCAAGCTCTCGTCATTAATGGTGGCTGGATATGGAGGGTATTCATTCTCCATCATATCAACTGTACCTTTGCATCTATGAACAGCTGCCTGTCCTTCAATCACCTCTTTCACCCGTTGTTGAAGGTGTTGCAAACCTTTAGTAGTAAGACTCCTGAGTGTTCCCCCTAATTCAACATATGGTGGAATAACATTCGATGCACTTCCACCCCTAACATAAGTAACCGATAGCACCTGCAACCAATTCAAATAAAACAAAATTTCAAGATTCAACTTCATCCACTTTTGTCTATGAACAAAAACACATACTTGACTTTGGAGGGGATCTAATTCTCTAGAGATCAATTGTTGCAAGGCTAAAACCGTTGATGATGCAGCAAGTATGGGGTCCACACTGTTGTGAGGTTCAGCAGCATGACCACCTTTACCTTCTATCTTAGCTTTAAAGAAGCATACAGCAGCTAACATAGGTCCTGAAAGGGTGGCAATGGTTCCTGTAGGAATTGTATAATCAACATGCATTCCAAATATGGCCTCTGAACCACCTAAAGCACCTTCTTTTATCATATGGGATGCACCCGCACCTCCTTCTTCAGCAGGTTGGAAAATCAATCGAACAGTTCCCTTAGAACCAAATTAATAAGAAAAAAGAAAAGCATTCAGTGGATGAAGTAGAATGGAGTTGTTACATTAAGGCATACCTTTAGATTGTCTTTTCTCTTATTAAGTAACTTAGCAGCACCAAGAAGCATGGTTGTGTGAGCATCATGTCCACATCCATGCATTACTCCATCGATTTTACTCTTATGATCCCATTCAACCAGCTCCTATGTTTACATCATACAAATTTGAATACTTTTAGAGCTAAACTGAAGAGGAATAGTTTGAATTTATAGGTGAAAATGTTATATACTCAATAATTGAAGGTGCAAATTAATACCTGCAAAGGGAGGGCATCCATGTCAGCTCGAAGAGCTACAACTGGAGGAGACCCGGTGCCAATTTGAGCTACAAAACCAGTCTTGGAAATTGGGTATGTGTAAGAAACGCCAAGTTTATCGAGTTCATTGCGAATAAGGGCGCTGGTGTTGTATTCTTGGAAAAGGAGTTCAGGGTACTCGTGGAGCTTCCTTCTGATTGAAATCAACCAATCTTTGTCTTCTTTTGCTGCGCTTAAAAGCTGGGTAGGGTAATCTTCATCGCCATCTACGATTTGAATTGACGATGGAAGTAAAACCCAGAGCAGTAGGAGGATTCTAAAGGAACGTAAAATCAAAATTTGAAGCATCTTCCACAATTAGGTTTTCTGATACTGTCTCAATCGGGGCGTGTAACACTCGACCCAAAATGGAAACCGGTACTAACCCCTTCCCTTGCTCGGTACTTGAGATCAGAATTTTGATTCTTCCATTTTTTTTCCTGAATCGGATTGTCTCCTTTCTTTAAGTTTCCTCAGCCATGTTTGACTTGCTGTAGTTCCCTTAAATTAGTCTTTGAGCATTTTTCTTCGGTATCCCTTTTGATCATTTGTGGGCGTAGTTGCTACTTGCCTGCTACTTGTTAATGTTTGATTATGCATAGATAATAGGGTTATTTCCATAAAAGATATATTTTGATTATGTCGTAAGTATTTGTAATGATAAATATTAAAAAAATTATATCCTCCTACTTTTTCATCATAACAATCCTCCTATCCATTTAAATGATGACATGTGTCATATTAGGATCCTAAAATATCATTAAATCTCATTAAATGAGCATTAAATGTTACACATGTCACGATTTCATTGGATAGAAGGATATGTAGGAACAAAAAGTAGGAGGATATTTAATTTCTCAATATGTAATGCCCTTAAATAAAATGACAATGATAATAAGTAAAGAAATTAACATAATATCAAACCAATTGTTTGAAAAAAATTCAAGCTTTTATTCCGTATAATTTTCTAAACCAAATTGATAAGAACATTGTTCCTAGGATACAACAGGAGACATGAAAATTGTTTTGGCCTATGGCTAATGAGTATAGTTAGGCCTTGAGCAGGGCGGTCCCTCAAAGGCTCAAGACAAACTAGATAAAAATGGTCATTATCGTTATTATTTTAAATAAAAATTTATATATAATATATAATAATAAAAAATGGGCCATGTACAGTTGCCCACTTTGCCCTCCCTCAACGCCCCCCATGCCTTGAGTTATGGTTGGGTTTTTACGCGTCAAAAGCTAATGTGGCATAGATGTTCACTAATGAAAACCGTCCTCTGGCTAGTAGTTGTGATTGTAGTGATATGTATTACGGAGGCTTACGAAGATTTTTATTGGCTCAGCAATTCAATGGTGGCTCTCATTGGCTACTCTCTCTTGTTCACTGCATGTTTACTAGTGAACACCATCCTCACTGCTAATAGACATGTAGTGGATTGGTTATTTGGATGATTTGGCAGCCCTTAAACACGTAATAATCTCAAAACCATACCTTTTAGCCTTACTACACTACCAACCCATTATAAAAATGTTGTGATCTGCCACGTCATCTGCACTATAAGTTCATTATCAGACTACTATACATTGGAAATGGTTACCACTCCTTATTATTTATCTTTTTTTTATATTAAATTAAATAATAAACATAATTTAAAACATAAATAAATATTCTACATTAATTAAAAACTCATTACATTACTTATAAAACATAAAAATTTAAAACTAAATTATTAAAAAAACATAAAAACATAGAAATTTAAACCTAAATTACTAAAAATACATAAAAACGTAGAAATTTAAACCTAAATTACTAAAAAACATAGAAAATAAAACATAAATATTAAATAAGTTTTTTTAAACCTCCATTGGATACATTTTCCTCAACTGTCAAATATTTGATCTTTTGCAAGTCCGCTTTATTCTAATTGGTTGTCTTTACGGGTAGATGGGCTCACGTCACCCTCCATTAGGACGGTGTTCACATGTGGCTTAGTGTGCCACATAAGACCTCATGAGGAGAGTGAGGCCCCATACCGGATAGTCTAAGCAATTTCACAAGCCAACTCAAACTAAGAAACTGTGCGCATCGGGTAGAGATAATTGAGTAAAAAAACAAAAACAAAATCTTCTTCTACAATTCACAATTCCCTTAAATGCATCACCGATTTCTGTTGTACCGCGTGATTTGATTGAAATACATAACTTATTGCATTGTTTAAAATGTTAATCCTCTGTATACATAGAACCAACTCAATTTTTTCAAATATGCAATCTAAAGACATATCCATCTAATACTTAGGCTGAACGGTATCCTACTTGTTTTACCGCTGGTATCCTAGGGGGCATATTTTGCCGGCGGTAATATGCCTTCGGTAGAATATTACCACTATCTCTCTTCATTTTTACCGGTGAAACCATTTTGTGTGGACTAGTAAGCTGCATCAAATGGTTGTATCTTTATGCATTAGAAAAATACACAATAGTGGTAGTATATGGTTATGATTTGGTAATAGTTTTATAGGCAAAAATATCACCACACCCCTGTCATGCAAAGATTGGTATGAAAGGAAAATGCTTACGCGGTGCCTATGTGACACCCTTTTACCATTGGCAAAAACATCACCATACCCTTTAGCCTTATAGGTGTGGTATCGACAAGTAAAAATATAATTAAAATATAGAATAGAAGTAGATACAAGAGACGTAAAGCCTCCGAAGTCATATAAGACTCCCCAAATTTCAATTTTGTAAACCGAAAACGTCCTTTAGTCTTCAGAGAGACATACATCCTCTTTTTCGTTAATCCATTCATCATCTGACTCCATGTCCGACAAACATATTGGATCATAGGTCTCCCCTCTTTCTTTTCTCTTTTGGAGTCTTATATCAAGGTTGATGTTGTATTTCACAAACACCCATTTAGAGTGTATATGATAAAAAGTGTTCCAATTTTTCTCACATCTTGTGACACTATATGTGATGCTCAAGACACGAATAGCAAGGTGTTAAAGTCATCTCCATAACTTGACCATCACTTATCTACACTTTAATAAAACAAAAGAGTAATAATTAAAATTCTAATTATTATATATTTTATCAGGTTGCATTTTTCTTCCTAATGAGTTACCATGTTGCATTTTCTTCCTCGTTAGCATGGCTACGAATATACCAAAAAATTGATGGTCTCATTGAACTTTACAAGTTGTTCATGAATTTTCACCGTTGTTGACCTGTCATACATCCTTTCAATGACATCATACAATCCACATTTGACTTCTTTATCGACATTAAAGTTCTTCTCGAAATGAAGACTAGTTTATAAAATAAAAAATAGTAAATGTTTAGTCGAAAAATAATAAATGTTAGAGAAATAATAAAAATATATACATAGGATTAAGAAAATATTATGCGACATGAAGTGTCCTATGAAGTTGCACATTCCACCTAAGATCAATCTTTTCCCAAATAGGCTTATATCTTGATTCAACGCCACCAGAGCTTTCTTTTATTTGGTTTTTTTATGTCACACCCCCAAACCAAGGATGGCGGAAACGTCCGGGGGTGGAGGACTTCATGTATAGTATCACAACAACGAATATAATAGTGCTCAAAGTAAATACAACCATCATAAATATAATTGAAAATGTTACAACCATGGAATAATTTACATGTTTCAAAAATCAATTACATTTATGATGACAAAATGAGCGTTTGACGATTTATCGTCCCATCCTCAAAATGGTGTGTGGGGTTTCCTGTTTCACTGATTTCCAGAGAATACAATTAGTTTTGAAAAGTGTCAACAATAATTTTGGTGAGTTCATAAGAGTTTTTTTGAGAAAGAAACCGTTTTCCTTGTAAAAGCGACAAAGTATGTTTTCCAGAAAATCCAATATTTTCTTTATTAAGTGAATGAATGCTTCTATGTTATGCGATAATGAACCATAGAAAGGCCCATAGATTTCCTTCTATAATCGCCCAGTGTATATAAGTTATATAAAATTTAAGTTAAATAAACCGTCGAATATAATGGGTCTGCCCTAGGTCCACAACCAAACAAGGAACATGAATAGGCGGGCCCACCATTCTAAGTCGATTAGACTAGATTCTTAGATAACTCTACATATACACTTAGCAAATATAGCTGAAGTCTAACAATTCTAGATTAAATATAGTTTTAACAGAGATATGATTCCAAAGAAATCCTATATTTTCCTTATAAAGTTATTGGTCCTAAATCCTAGACCGAATAAACAAGTATTTTCCATACTTAAAGATATAAAAGTGGTTTTAAATCGGCATAAACTCGTTTAGTTTTAGAAGTAAAACCCTTTTCAAAGTAGAATTTTCCATGTAAACTTAAAAGTTGTTAACTACCTATGTGAGTCGCTATAACCATACTATGACGAGAAATAACCTGGCACAACGTTTTTCAGACGTTAAGATACTATGACGCTTGTCACCCGTAGACCTGCAGGTCCCACTGTAGCTAGCAGCAAGGTGTGGGGTTCAAACCCATATAGATCTATACACAATTATCACGCTCTCCCTACAAGAGACTCTGGTTATAACTTACAGGAATTGGGATCCCGTACTCGAACGTACGGGGAGAGAATTGCCTCACAATCCTAAGTTAACTAGTTTACACACAGTTTGATATTAAACCTCTTCCATGAAGGAAGTAAAATCACATTTTCTGAATAAATTTGTGATATGAAATCCTTAAACTATTACTATTATAGTTTATTACGTAAATATATGAAAAACTCATTTGTTTTGAGAGTAAAACCTTTTTCATGTAGTAAAAATCCATAAACTATGCTTATTGAAGTTTATTATAAGTATTCGAAATGAATGAGTAAACCTTATCATGAATGACTAAATTTCAGTTTATGATGATAAACTAACAAGAAAATACATTCAATATTTAGAACTTATTTTTTATACACTTTGCTCAACATAATACAAAGTGTATTGAAAGTTATAAGCTGTTAACTAGTTTTAACCGTTCTGCACTGTTTTAGAAAAATCATAGAAAAATCATACGAAGTCGAAAACTGAATCCGTAAATCCTAAGAGTTCATAAAATGTGTCTAGTTTGTGTCATAATTTTTATTATGATTTTTGGAAGTCTTTAACTTGTGTTTAAAATGTTCATATTCACAGACTGGTCCGAATTCGTTTTTTAAAATGATAGGCAGTTTTGTAAAAAATCACCATAAATCGTAGAAAAAATCGTATGGTGATGTGCAAGTAATCATTTTAAAGGTATGAACCTGAATATTTTGCACCTAATACAGTTTTGAAACTAAAATGTTTAAGTTGACCAAAAGGTCCGTGAATGGAGTTGAACTTTTCTGATTAAGAGTGCTGTTAAATGAGTTTAGTTGAGTTTCTTGGTGTTTTAACTTATATTCCCCCCCTTAAAACTTAAGAAAAACATGAAAAGATAGGGGTATGAACTCACCTTGAGTGATTTCAATAGATGGATGATGGAGAAAAAAGAAGTGCTCAACGCAAGAACACTTGGGAGGTGCTTGAAGATTTGAAGATCCTAACACAAATTGACG